TCATTCTTCTTTTTCATTCTACTTCTTCTTCTTCTTTTCATTCTTCTTCTTCATCTTTTCATTCTTCTTTTCATTCTTCTTCTTCTTCTTTTCATTCTTCTTTTCATTCTTCTTCTTTTCATTCTTCTTCTTCTTCTTCTTTTCATTCTTCTTCTTCATCATCTTCATCTTCTTCGTCGTGCCCCGTGACTGCCCAAATGAGTGAAGTGTGCGGTGATTCTAAGATCGACGGCACTCATCTGCATGTCATACTGACTGACAGTATTATTTCTCTTCCCCAGCAGACTCCAAGGGCATTTAAATTAAAGGTACAGTGTTCTGCACTAATATAAAGGCTCTCTGAAGCCTAGAAACCCTTTAAATAAGTTAAATTCGCGGCGAATAAATTCGCATCGAATCGAATTTCTCCCGCAAATTCGGCGAATCAGCCGAATCGAATTTTTGAATAATTCGCTCATCTCTAGTTATAAATTATTTTTTTGGGTAATAAAGGGGAAGTCAATATTTTATGTATTGTTTACCTGCTTGCAGTGCGGCGTATGTATATAGACATCCTAGATGGCAAGCGGTTATACCAGGATCATGTTTGCAGCTGGAGCCATAATCCTAGCACTGTATTTTACAGATAGTGATTAGCTTTAATACAAAAGTGTTCGAAGTGGCTTTTTAGCTGTTCAGTCACTTTTACAATGCTCAGAAGGACTCCCACAGGCACCCTTCGCCATTTCTTAGCTCTTTCGATCTATCGGGGAGTCCAGGATCACTGTAAGTGGTCAGGTCAGCAGCCCACAGAAGAGATTGAGAAGGGAACATCCACTCCCCAATCTCCCCACTGATGAATGAAGCCAGAAGCAACAAAGATTTTGTTAGTTATGGTTTCAGCTCTGTGTTTCCTTGGCTGGTACAGCCAGGGAAGGGAAGCAGCTGGTCAAACAGAGACCTGTTTGATCAGTACCCTTGGAGTGCAGAGGAGACCCCGGATCTCTCCAAAGAGTACTTGTCACTGCCCAACGCTATAACAAAGGGTGTTGTTCACCAATTGTGATAGTTGAACAAAAAAAGATTACAAAGTGTAAAAAAATAAATTTAAATACAATTGAATTAATTAAAACAAAGTAAAAGTACCCTTGCCCCCCTGTGCTCACACGCAAATACAGACATGCATGCATTTGTAAACACATGTGAGGTATCAACACAAAAGTCAGAGTGAGAGCAATATTTCTAGTGACAGAGCTCATGTTTAACTGTAAACTGATAACTTGTAAAGACTTTTTAGGTACTGTAGTTTGTCACCATTTCACAGGCATGTGCAATTTTAAATCTTGAAATAACTGGTATCTATTTACTCAACAGAATATCATCTTTTCTATTCTACTAAAAAATGGGTATATCATGTGTTTAAAATTAATTTAAAAGTATTTTCACTGAAAATTTGTGTTTGATAAAGGTCTAAACAAATACCGTGTGACATATAAAATTGCAATAGCCACCATTTTATTCTCCAGGGCCTCTACTTTCAGATATATATAATATGGGGTTCTAAGAATTTTTTAGCAAAAAAACTCCTGATTTTAACATGTATATGAAAAATGTCTAAATTGTCCCAGACTACAAGAGGTTAATATAAATGACTTTTGGTTTTTCACAGCTACATTTTAAACCCCATTTTGCCCATAACATTAAAAAAATGTCGTGAAGCAGAATAGATGAGTCTGCAAAAAAAGATCTCAGGAAAACAGGAGAGAAACATACATATTTTCCATTTTTCATACTGTTTCTGCAGCTGACTCTCTTCCATCTCTCATCAATGTTTCCTTTTTCAAATGATGAAAAAAGTGAGGCTTCATACTGCTATGTGAAGAAGCCATTAACAAAACAACCAAAGACTGTCAGACATGGATAGAACAAACAGTAACAGCTTATAATACTTTTTTGCAAACTTTGATAACCTTTGAAGAAAATGGAAACTTTTCAATAAAAAATACTTAAGGTAAAAAGGGCACACTTTGACCAAATGCATGGTGAACAAATGATCGGTAGCCAGTTCAGTTCTTCTCAACATAATGAAGGTCTCATATTGAGAAGTAATCTGACATGCATAACAAATGTTTAGGAAAATAAAAGTACCTTAGAGAACTGGTACTATTCCTTTGTTAAAAATATTTTTCTCTGCTCAGATGAATTTATAGCTTTTTGATTAAAAACATTATGGATCCATTCACACCAGATGCAGTGGGATGCATTTTTTAACACATTCCTACTGCACTGACAATCCAAAATCAATTGTAGCTAATGAACATTAAACATGTGTACACCAGAAATTTTTGTTTTGGATGCATTCATTAATTGAAGAATTTTGTTTTGTCATATTCGTTATGTTGAACCGATCCATTTGTATTGTTGATATTCATTTTGTATATTCATTGGTATGGGTGGATTTGAAAAATATTGTAGTCTTTTTAAAGATATATCAAAACTATTCCAAAGGATTCAATATTTTCAGAATGGGATTCCTCACTAACAGCAGAATGTAAACAAACAAGTACATTAAAGTAAAAAAAAAAAAAGTGAGCCTCCCCCCAGTCCATACCAGGCTCTTCAGGTCTGGTATGGATTTTGAGGGGAACCCTACACCATTTTTTTTTATTTTAGTGTGGGATCCCTCACAAAATCCATACCAGATCCTAATTTGAGCATACAGCCCGGAAGGCCAGGAAGGAGGGTGGGGGGGACGTGCAAGCATCCCCCTCCACATACCCTCAACATGAGGACTGGGGGCCCCCTTGTTAAAGGGAGATTCAAGGTTCCGATAAGTCACCCCTCACACCCTCTGAACCACTGGGCAGGGTTGTGGGGAAGAGGGGTTTCTCCTCATTATTTGGGGACAAAGTGCTTTAGGAGGGGATCCATCAAAGCACTCCTCCCTTTTGAGGACATGTGTCCTGGCATGGTTCGGGGGGGGGTTGCTCGCCTACCCCCTTTCCTGGCCTGCCAGACTGTATGCTCAGATAAAGGTCTGGTATGGATTTTGGGTAGGATCCCACGCCATTTAAAAAAAAATTGTCATGGGTACCCCGTAAAAGCCATACCAGACCTAAGTGTCTGGTGTGTATTTTAAGGTGATCCTACACCATTTTTTGTTTAATTTTGGAGTGGGTTTCCCCTCAAAATCCATACTAGACCAGCAGGGGACCCCATGATGTTTTTTAAAAACATTTTAATGCCTACACTTGTTTGTTACATTCTGCTGTCAGCGAGGAATCCTGCTGACAGCAGTTGAGTCATGATTGTTATGGATGGGACAGCCGCCACCTCTTTAACAAACAGCTATTCTTCACAAAGAATTGCTCACAATGCCCACCTATGGGACTGTTGCAGACCCCTAAAAAGAGTTATAATTGGATATGTTACAGTTAATTTGCATACTTATCTGTAATTGGCTGTTTTGAAAAATGACATGCTGTTTCATTGGTCTTGTTCGTGCTGTACCTGTAAAACAAGAAGAAAAACTGCGTATTAAACTGTTATTTGGAACTAGACTGCAAGAAGAGCATATCTTCTGTTGCTCAGCATGGAAAATTTACTGCGCAATATGTTGGAATGGATCGGCGCTGCCGGAGGTGAGGACTGGCTGCAGCACTGTCTTGCTTTATCTTGTAATGAACCTCCCAATCCGGCCTCCTTTCCTATGGCTGCCCCAGAGCATTCTTCTGTTCCTTCTGCCCATGTTTTCCTTCAGGTCTTTCTCCCTTCTGTGGCCCCAAGTGCGGCTATGACTGATTCTTCTGTTTCCAGGTCATCTTCTGGCTTCTTTGCTCCTCCTTCTGACCATCATAGCTCCGACCGTAGCACATCTTCATGACGCTTAGATATGGAAGCCGCTGGCAGGACATTCGCAGTTCTGCCATCTATCCCTGCTAAGATATTAGCAAAGCGGCATTGCAGGATCGATTCCCGGTCCCCTCAACAGACTGTACCTGCTATCAAAGGCTTACCTTCCTCTATAAAAAATGGTAGAGCTTCCAGTTTTTTTCCAAAAAAGAAGGCTACCTCTACTATGACTCCCAAGTCAGCTTCACTTACAGGAGAACAACTTAAAGTATCAAATGTTCCTGCTGCTGATGTACCCTTGTCAACTATTACCCCAGGTATTACTACGCTGGTGCATTCTGAAGTTTTGTATGATACTGCAACTGTGGTTTCTGCTCCAGTTCCAATATTGGATTCTCCTGACGTGACACCTAGCCCTGTTCTTGATGCTGCAAACTAATCCATCAGGTGAGTTTGATGATATTGATGCTATACTTAACACAAACCTTCATCTGTGCTTCAAACGGAGGGTAGGGTGGACGAAGTTTGGTTGGACGCATCCACTAAGCCGCGTTCTGTGCCTCTAATTCCTTCTGTACTTGATAAAGTTAAGGGTACACGGTTAGTAAACCTTTCTTTTTTGGTTAATCATGTTCCTGATTCATTACCTATCTGCCTGCCATCTCTCCTTTGGTCCCTGAAACTTCTTTTAACCACGTGCCCTCCAGAGGATTTACCCCCCTTCCTGAATAGGTCATTTTTTTCTATACTGCGCTGCGTTAATTTAAATGACAATTGTGTAGTCATGCAACTCTGCACCAAAATTACATTTACATTCTTTATTTCCCACAAATAGAGCTTTCTTTCGGTGGTATTTGATTGCCTGTGTGTTTTTTATTTTTTTTTTTTGCGTTATAAACAAAATAATACTGACAACTGTGAGAAAATAACAATATTTTTGAATTTTTGCTATTAAACATGTCCTGTAAAAAAAATTTTTTAAAATCATATTTCGTCATAAATATAGGCCAAAATTTATTCTGATACATCTTTGATAAAAAAAAAATCCAATATGTGTAAATTAATTGGTTTATATGAAAGTTATAGCATTTACAAATGGCGGTATATATACTGGTATTTTTTTATTTTTTTACAAGTAATGGCGGCAATCAACAACTTATAGTGGGACTGCAGAACTGCAGCGGGCATTCTGACACTGACTTGGTGTCACTGACATCCCCAGTGATACCAATGCAGTGATCAGTGCTAATAAAAAGCACTGACCCTGTACTAATGGCACTGGGCAGGAAGTGGTTAACATCTGGGGCGATCAAAGGGTTAACTGTGTGCTGTTTCACAATATGCTGTGTGAGTGCTTTCCACTGTAAGCACACTGCTGTGTTGTTTATACACAGGTTTCTACCCCGTCGGAGATACTCGGCGATTGCTGGGTGCTGACAAGTAATCACTGGCTGGAATCTGGTGGAGGCATGGGTAGGGTGCCCCCTACCTGGAACTGAAAAATCACATTTTATATATATATATATATGATTTTGCATACCCGTGCCGTCCTGTAGCAGTACTTCTGCTATAGGGCAGGTTATAATCGGTTAAAGTTTTGGCGTGTGATATTTCCCCTTTAGGTTTTCATTTAAACGACTCTGTCAAGGATAAGATTTGGAAAGGGGAATATATTGATCTTCTCTCTTTATTGCCTTCTGCAAAGGAAAATAGATTTGATCAAAAAGATATGAACAAATCTTTACAAGAATAAATCTGTTGAATACTCCTTTAATAATTGGCTCCAGACATTCTGTATATATGCCAGCGTTCTGGGAGAGAAAAATACGGAACAGTGCAACAGACTTTTTCAACACATTGAAATTATTTTAGAAGCTTACAAGAATTTTAGTGCAATCTCATGTTTTTACTATGATGAGGCCTTTAGAAAAAAGCTTTCTATATAAAAATCTTTGAAATGGAGTACGAAAGACGTCAGCCTTTGGCTTAACTTGTGTTAATTCCTCATAAACAATCTCAGAAAGCACCTACAGTTGCTACCAAAATATTCAGACAGGGATTTTGCTCTAGTTTTAATGAGGACAATGCAAATGGCCCAATAATTGTAAATATAAGCATGAGTATGCTTATTTTTCTGGACCATGCTCTGTGTCAGTTTGCCAACAGGTTGAAAACACATAATTGTGTGTTCTCATTGGAATCACCTTAACTCCAGAATCTGGGAGGGTGTCCACATAGTTTAGTCACATACACTATATAGGTTTAATCGGCCATTTTATTAGGTACACCAGCATTTAACATAGTATATAATCACAAGGGGTGCTGGAGGGTTGATTAATGCTGGCTGCTGGGGGATCTGTTGTTGATGGAGAGGATCTATTTTTGCCAGGAGGTCTATTGCTGCTGGTGGATCTATTGTTGCTGGGATAGGTCTTATGTTGCTGCGGGGTCAGTCATTACTGGGATGAATCTATTGTTGCTGGCTGCTGGAGGATCTATTAATGCTGGCTGTTGGGACTCTATTGTTTCTGTGGAATATCTGTTACTAGCTACAGGGGATCTAGTTTATTTCCTTTCTTGTTATCAATAGCAATTCCATACAAAAACACCACAAAATTATACTTGGTTCTGTATTCTCTAAAAGAAGCTGCACTGGGAGGGGGTAAAGGGTGGAAGCAAGGAAAGGTGCTCAGAGGTGGGTAAGGGGTGGACACACAGGACGACTCAGATGGGGAGAGTTCCTGTACCTACTATTCTCTGAGAGAAAAAGCCCTGTATATATATATATATATATATATATATATATATATATATATATAATCTCACAGAAGTGAGTACACCCCTCACATTTGTGTAAATATTTTATTATATCCTTTCATGTGACAACACTGAAGAAATGACACTTTGTGAGTGTACAGCTTGTATAACAGTGTAAATTATCTGCCCCCTCACAATAACTCAGCACACAGCCATTAATGTCAAAACTACTGGCAACAAAAGTGAGTACACCCTTAAGTGAAAATGCCCAAATTGGGCCCAAAGTGTCAATATTTTGTGTGGTCACCATTATTTTCCAGCACTGTCTTAACCCTCTTGGGCATGGAGTTCACCAGAGCTTCACAGATGAGGCATTCCCACCACCATGCTTGACTGTAGGCAAGACACACTTGTCTTTGTACTCCTCACCTGGTTGCCGCCACACACGCTTGACACCATCTGAACCGAATATGTTTATCTTGGTGTCCTCAAACCACAGGACATGGTTCCAGTAATCCATGTCCTTAGTCTGCTTGTCTTCTGCAAACTATTTGCGGGCTTTCTTGTGCATCATCTTTAGAAGAAGCTTCCTTCTGGGACGACAGCCATGCAGACCAATTTGATGCAGTGTGCGGCGTATGGTCTGAGCACTGACAGGCTGACCCCCCCCCCACCACTTTCAACCTCTGTGGCAATGCTGGAAGCACTCATATGTCTATTTCCCAAAGACAACCTCTGGATATGACGCTGAACACGTGCACTCAACTTCATTGGTCGACCATAGCGAGGTCTGTTCTGAGTGGAACATGTCTTGTTAAACTGCTCTATGGTCTTGGCAACCGTGCTGCAGCTCATTTTCGGGGTCTTGGCAATCTTCTTATAGCCTAGGCCATCTTTATGTAGAGCAACAATTCTTTTTTTCAGATCCTCAGAGAGCTCATTGCCACGAGGTACCATGTTGAACTTCCAGTGACCAGTATGAGAGAGTGAGAGCGATAACACCAAATTTAAACACACCTGCTCCCATTCACACCTGAGACCTTGTAACACTAACGAGTCACATGACACTGGGAAAGGAAAATGACTAATTGGGCCGAATTTGGACATTTTCACTTAGGGATGTACTCACTTTTGTTGCCAGTGGTTTAGACATTAATGGCTGTGCGTTTAGTTATTTTGAGGGGACAGCAAATTTACACTGTTATACAAGCTGTACATTTGCTACTTTACATTGTAGCAAAGTGTCATTTCTGCAGTGTTGTCACATGAAAAGATAGAATAACATATTTACAAAAATGTGAGGAGTGTACTCACTTCTGTGAGATACTGTATATATGTATATATACACACAAGAAGTAAAAGAACATGGGGGGCATGGCTAGAGGATGTGTGTGTGTGTGTGTGTGTGTGTGTGTATATGCATACGTTTTTGTCTATGTCTGATCTGTAGTCTGTAAACATCAGGATTACGCAACCTTAAAGAGGTGGAGATCTACTGTACCTGAACAATATGGGAGAGATCTGAGATCACCAGACAAAGTGCACCTGAATCTCCAAAAATGAAATTTTCATCTGAAAAAAATGAATCAAAACGAAACTAATTGCACATGGCTTATGAACATAGTTCACATTGTGCTGCAGGACAGTGTAGTGAAAAAATGTACAGCAAGCTATATTTTTTCACAAGGCAAACATGCATAAACACATGTAAATGAGGTTAACACAATGCAATTCACCACTGTGTGGCTACTTTGATAAACCTGTCCTACTCCATGTGAAAAACTCTTAGAAACAATGCATTGCAAATGCATGCAACTGCACATAAACAGACATGTAAATGCACATGTGGAAATGCATGTAAGCATTCAGTATCTAATGGGAATGGGTCCTTAAATTTGTATACAACAAAACACATTCAGCATTTTGCAACTATTATTAGTAGAAACAGATTTTAGGTTTTTTCAATTTTCAATTATTTTAAAGTGGATGTAAAGGTAATTTTTTTTTTACTTTAAGGCATTGTCTGCATTAAAGTGGTTCTAAAGGCTTAAGATTTTTTTACCTTCATGCATTCTATGCATAAAGGTAAAAACCTTCTGTGCGCAGCATCCCGCCCAGTTTTCCCTAATACTCACCTAAATCCACTCTCGATTCAGCAAAGGGCACCAGAATCTCTGCTATCCCGGGACTACCTCTCTTCATTGGCTGAGAAAGCAGTGGGAACCATCACATATGGAAGAAAAAAAATATTTGCAAGATATTTTAAAAATATTGTTCCCAAATATATTGACATATATTTGAAATGCTACAATTTTGGCCATATTCAATATATTTAAAAATATATTTCAGTATATATATATATATATATATATATATATATATATATATATATAAAATCTATGAAAAATAGTATTACAAATACATTTCAAATATACTGTGTGTCTTTACAAATTACAAATCTACATTTTTTGGAATGCATTTACAAATATATATAAAAATATATTTTAAAAATGACTTTTTTATATGTTAAAAAAAATCTACAGTGATGCACACCCCCCCGCCCCCTAGTGAAACACTCCCTACACATAGTTAACCCTTTGATCACCCATGATATTAACCCCTTCCTGCCCAGTGCCATCAGTACAGTGTCACTGGGGTTATTCTAGCAATGATCACTGTATTGGTGGCACTGGGGATGTCAGTGACACCAAGTCAGTTCCCACCCAGTGTCAAAATGTCCGCGGCAGTCCCGCAGTCCCACTAAAAGTCACTGATTGCCGTCATTACTAGTAGAAAAAAAAAATCCCAGTCATTTGTCATTTGTAAACGCTATAACACAATCAATTAATTTACTCATATTGGGATTTTTTTTAGCACAGACATGTCACAGAATGCATTTTGGCATAAATTTATGACAAAATTAGATTTTTAAAAAAATTTTTACAGGACATGTTTAATAGCAAAAAGTCCAAAATATAGTTTTTTTTTTCTCAAAATTGTCGGGCTTTTTTTTATAGCACAAAAAAAAAAAAACTGACAGGCGATCAAATAACACCAAAAGAAAGCTTAATTTGTGGGGGGAAAAAATGACATAAATTTCATTTGGGTGCAGCATTGCATGGCCACGCAATTGTCAGTTAAAGTAACGCAACGCAGTAACGCAGTAAAAAAATGGCCTGGTCAGGAAGGGGGATAAATCCTCAGGAGAGGCAGCAAGTGGTTAAACTAAAAACACCTTACAATAGCAGCCCCCCCATCCCCCTCCCTAACACTTAGCTGACTCCTATATTGATCCAGCACTATACCCAGCTTCATTTCTTCTCTCCCCTCCCTTGCTCTCAGAAGCTTGGCTGAAAGCCCTGGATGCCATTGACTCCCACTACTGTCAGTAAAATCCTGCTGCTGTCAGTCAGTGTTTATAGATGCAGACAGCTAGGCTTGGGATTGAGCCAACACAAGTGCCTCCATAGCAAGAGGCTTGCTATGGCGCACTTGGAGAAGAGGAGCAGCCAAAAGCTCCTGCAGGGGACCTCAAAAGAGAAGGTTCAGAACTGCTCTGTGCAAAACCATTGCACAGAATGGGTAAGTATAACATGTTTTTATTAAAAAAAAAAAAAGTCTTTGCAATCACTTTAAAGTGATAAGAAAAATCTTCAACGGTTTTGCCCAAAATGAGCCAATGCCATAACCTTCCATTAATAGTTGGGAAGTTCTACATTAGGAATAGGTTTGTACAATGTCATGTCT